ATGGGAAACTTGTGTGTGCATACGTCTTAGAGATGAAGTCACACATTGACATGTTAAGGATGTTGGGTGTCGAAATTTCAGGTGAGTTGGCCGTTGATTGGGTTCTTCAGTCACTTCCTGAATCATATAGTGAGTTCGTAAGAGAGTACTATATAATGGACCACGACATGACCCTCATTGATTTGAACTATTTGCTTATAGCTGCTGAATCAACAATGATTTGGCGTGCTGGTCAAGTAAATATGTCTGGTGAATCAAACTCCCAAACTTCAATGGACATTAGCAACATTGGAAGTCCATAAAGTATGAGATTGTCCCATGTAATGTGCCAAAGGAATCCATTTGCTTTTATTGCCAAAAGAAGGGGAATTGGAGACGAAGTTGTCCTATCTGTTGGATTAGTGTCTAAGTCCATAACTATTTTGGTATGTACTTGACCCGATGGTGCATGGTCCTTTTGGGTTGCCTTCACCAAAGCAACTTGATAGGATGAATTATGGAAAGAAAGGATTGAATATGGTTTATTAATATATTAAAGGAGAAATCATATTGTTTAATTAATATTAGTAAAAAATTAATAAGAATTAAGTTTGTGGCTAAAAGAGATTAATTAAACTTAGGGGACTGGAATTGTAATTATAAGATAATTGCAATTGGGCTATGGATTGCCTTATATTATAAGGATGGACGAATTCTATGGGGAAACCCATTGGAAATCATCCAAGGCCTTTAATTAAAGGAGTCCATGGGTTGCTTAGGGCTTAAGCATCCAAATTAGGGTTTCCTTGTTAGATAACCCTAATAGCCTCACTATATATAGAGCCCTTATGCTCCAAAAACGTGGTGAACTTATTTCTCTAGGGTTTCCAAACGTTTTGAGAGCCTCCTTCTTTTCTCTTCTTTCATCCTCTTGCTCTTGGTGTTTGTGAACCATTAGAGGAGTGACACTTGTGACTCTAAGCTTTCTAAAGTCATTACAAGAAGGAATTGTGATTGTTATTGCTACATAACAATCAAGGTAATATCTTAAACCCATTATTATGTTAATATCGATTATCATGATCTAGAATTAGGGTTTATAGTCTTGGATAAATTGCATGTAAAATAGAGAAACCTAGATCCAAGTATTAGGGTTTGTGTGAGCATATAGGCTGTTCTTATGGATAAAACCCATCAGTGGTATCAGAGCCTTGATTGGTTTCTATTGTATTGATGCCTTGTATGTTTGTTCAAGTTAAAAAATTCGATTTTTGTGAAACTGCCTGATGAACTCGGGAGTCCCATTGTGGACTCGACAAGTAGGCCCCTACTCGGCGAGTCCATATGGGTACTCGGCGAGTTTGAGCGTCAGAAAGAGGGGATTTCGGGATTTCTTGCTGTTTTTCTCATGGATAATTGCCTTATCTGTTTTAGATCAATAAAATCCGATTTTAAGAGTATATCCTTGATTAAACAAAAGATAATTACCAATTGATTAGATAATAACTTCCTTATATGATTAAAGTTGATTATTTGTATTAATTGGGTAACTTATTTTGCAAGTAATTGTCATTAGGTCAAATATAGATAATGATGAAATTAATTGTTTAATTTATATTATTTGTTATTTGATCCTTGTGTTATGAAAAGTTTCATATTTTCCCCTTTAGGTTTTATAGTTTAAATTTGAACTTAAAAGTTTAGTTTTGAAATTTAAATAGTTAAACCCAATGTTTTTTGAAAAGGTTTCAAAACCTGCCCTCAAGTATTTGGAATTTAAAAGTTGATTAAAAGTTTAATTTAGAAATGTTAAATTCTAAAACCCTAATATTGTTTTGAAAAGTTCAAATCACACCCTTATGATTTTATTAATTAATTAAGGTGTATAATTAAAAGAGGTTTAATAAATCCATAAAAGTTTTGGTTTACATTTAATTGAATTAAAAGTATAATCATTAAATTTGACCACCTAGTATTTTAAACGTGTAAAATACACCCTATACTATATATAACATTAATAGTCTAACATTATATATATGTATGAGTAAAAGTCAGTCTTACTGTTAGTAGGCCTCATTCACGAAGCTGGTCTATAAGGGGTGTTTAAGGAAATTTCCTATAAAATGGCGCTTGAATGGGTATCCACTCTTACCCACCGCACTCTTGACTAGTGGAGGGTCGTTAGCCAAACGGGTAGGATAGGACAAAACCTTCCATTATAAGTATAAGTGAAGTACAAAAGTAACTAAATGTTTTTACAAATTCCCAATCTTAGTTACTTAGGCAAAAGTGAATTGATACAAATTCCCAATCTTAGTTACAAATTCCCATGAAATTACACTTTGTGCCCTTGCGAAGACGTTAGTGGAGCGTGTGTGGTTTACCGGCACACTAAATGGTTCTAAGCAAAGGTAGCAAAGGGTGACTCAATGTTTGTCATAGTTTGGTGGAGCGTGTGTGGTTTACTGGCACATCGAATAGGTGATGTAACATGTGAGGGCACCATGTAAGTTTGCATGGTTATTCACACCCGCTTTGTGATCCTCGGCATCCCAGTCACAAACAAGAGGGGCATATCGAGATTTAAACATGCCATTGAAATGTTCAATGAATCTCAAAGGATCTAGGAGTTTTCATAGATTTAAAACTTAAATTTCTTTTTCGTTTTTCATGGTGGAAATTAGTGAATCGTCATTCACTTACCTTCAAATATTTTGCAACTAGATCACGACATCCCTTTTCTAGGTTGTAATGTATTGTGTTGGGTCCTAGCCTTAGTATCTCATTTGGGTGATTTATTAAGGACTCAATCTATCAACTAACTTGAATTTGTTTTCTCCCATTTTGTAGATGTCAAAGTTCGACAACTATGGTCTTCCCAAGTCCTGTGGAACAAGCATTCCACATGAAGATGATATTCCACGATTCGATCGAGGAACAAGAAATCATGCTTCACTTCCTCGTCGTCCTCCCGTTGTTCTCCCTAACCCACAAGATCGAAGAATTGAAAGGTTCAATGTCACTAAAGCCCTATTGGAAATGAAACATGAAGATGGTAAACCGTGTGTGCTCCACATTCTAGGAATGAAATCACACATTGATAGGTTGAGAATGTTGGGTGTGTCATTCCCGGATAAGTTGGCTGTGAACTGGGTTCTGCAGTCACTTCCGAATCATATAATGAGTTCAAAAGAAAGTATTATATGAATGGATCATGACGAAAGCCTCATTGACCTAACTTACATGCTCATTGCTGCTGAATCAGAAAT